CAGAGCAAATGTCTCTCAGACTCAGCCCTCTCAGGAGTCTCACCTCAGGCAAATGACACATGTGTGAGTACTGTGAATCACACACCAACCAAATGTGAATGCCACTGGAAGCAAGGACTGGCATCAAATCTCTTCTCTTATTTTGGCCAGCCCGGCAGCAAAGGATCTTCCTATCAAGGACCCGTGCTAGAGTCAACTACCACGTGTGGTCAACTGCCCAAAAACGGACACCACTTCGTCCGAAAAGCAAGAAGGATAGCTTTGTGACTTGAGCAATGCATCATGTTTGCCAGTGAATTGGCCATCTTTGCGGTCAGCCAAGCTCTCAAGCATCCACATTGGCCTTGGCCTGGTCAGCGCACTGAAGCCTGGGTGAGTTGAGTGAAGCTGCTGCAACACCCGTTTCATACATGGAAGTTCCGGGAAGTGCAAGTCATGAGCCATGCCAGAATCCACATTAGGGCAGTCACTTCGCCCAGGCAGTTCCCTTCCACAACGAAGGGCACCAACTTGCCAGGGAAGTCATTGCTTGATGAGCGTTCTGACTGCGCACGGCTGAGAAGCTGCTGCACTGTGTCCCAAACCAGATGAGCGCACCACCAGTTGCGCATGCTAAAGCATCAAGCCATAGCGCCAGCCCATGGCTTACCAGGCAATTGTGGAGCTCAGTGAAGCACGAATCAAAGGCTGCAACCCGCATCCCTGCCCTCAGGAACGACTTGGTCAAAGACCCTGAGCCGGCAAAGTACTCAATTGCATCATGTGATTCGCTGTCCTCATCCGGTTCGTCAAGCTGCGCTCAACGAGGGACATGAACTGCTGCTTCAATGACCAGGCCTGCATAAACGGATAGGCCAATCCCAAACACACTTGCCAAGCAGGAAATCCATCTCCGCCACACGCACGGTCAAATGCCAAGAAAGCATCAATGAGTTGCCCAACTTGAATAAGACGTTCTCTCAGCTCGTTGTTCCTGTTGAAGGACCGCTCCTTTGCTCCTCGTGTTTTCAACAAGGATTCTGGTTGCCCCTGCGACCACGTAGCCCTGGTGGCTCCGCAAAACTTTTGCTGAGGGTCTGGTGCTATCCACGACTGGGTTCCTGGCTGCTTGGATATCTTTGGTTTGTGAGTGGGCATGGTGCAACTCGCTATCTGTATGGGCGCTTTTAGAACGCTTTACCAGAGTGAATTTGCTGTTTCTTGCCCTTTTTCGCGACGGCTCGGCTTTGGGGACTCGGCTGCGTGTCTGGCCAGGATGGGGCTTGCGACCCCCTTGCGCGCAAGGGTGCCCGCAGCTGTCGTTGCCAAATCCGAGCCCAGGCCCGCCGCCTTGGTAGCCTTGCTTCTTGCCTTTGGTCTTGGTCCAAGCCGACCAAGGCCTCCCAGATCTTCTGGTAATTCGCCGCCGCATCGTCCTCAAACGACTGCAGCATGGCCACCATAGCAGCTCTGGAGTCAAGCCCCTCCACGGCAGCAGCGAGAACACTCACAAGCACAAAAACAATTGTTAGGAAAATCGTGGGCAGTGAACATGTTATAGCGCACCCGTGTCGTATTTTACTACCTGCAACCGTGTTCTTGTCATTTCTTGTCTCTTTCTCTCTCTGTCACACACACACACAACAATGCACTTGAGCGCAGCTTGCTTTGAGAAACGGCGGTCGCGTCCGGCGTGTCATGAAGCAATATCTTCTTATTTGTCCTGTCTACCTTTCTCTCTGTCCCTTTCTTTCACAACAAAAGGTCTACCCTCTGCCCGCCCTCTCTCTCACACACTGCTCTGTCACAAACGCATGGAACCTGGCAAGCTGCGCGCGTCCAAGGAAATTTAATCTAAAGTCGCATTCCGCTCCAAGCGACCGGTAATGCTTGAAGCATTGCGCGTAGAGCGAGCCGAATAGGTGCATCTTCTCGACAAGATCCTGGGCGATGATTTCTTCAAACTCATGGTGCAAGTGCAAAGCTGCGCAGTCCGGCAATTAATAACATCATTGTTGTCGGCGTGGTGGGCCCAAATCTTTTGCACAGCTGGCGACAGGCCCCTAATTTGGCCTCCTTTGCCTCGCAACTTTGGGCAATCCTCCTTCTTCTTGAACACGCTGAGCGTATTCAACTCCGTTGCGGGGTACTTGTCCCCAAACACTGGTGGCAGAGCAGCAAAGCCAGGTGCTGCAGATTTCTCAGCGGGTCGTCCCTCACCGAGCTCAAAGCAAATTAACCAAAAGACAGAGCCAAACAAGTACTGAGCGTAGGCCAAGCAATTGCAACGCAGCCAACCTGGCATGACGCTGACTGCAGCGTAGGGGTTCCGTTGGCGGCGCAGGCGTCCGGGGCACATCATCCATCATGGTCGTGATCTCTCGGTGTATGTTGTTGGGGTAGCGCCCAAAGCTTCGTAGAGATGCAAGGTAGGAAAACCTGGCGTGTCCCAAGCAGAAGTCATGTGGATATCCAAGCACGCTTTCTGGCAGACTTGCTGCACTTCGTGCGGGCTTTTGTTGCCGCCGTGCTGGCCATCAGACACGGTCTATGCTGGCGATCGTGAGAGGGGTTTGTGTGGGCGGCAAGAGATTTGTTTGTGAGGGACCCACGCACTTCAATGAAATGTCTGCATGAGAGGGGCGGCCGAGGGGGGATGTTTGTGTGTGAGAGACATTGCGCTTGTTTGGAGGTGTTGTTGGTGGCGTCGTTGGTAGTGTTGCTGGTGCGGTTGGTGGTGGTGTTGGTGGTGTCGTTGGTTGTGTTGTTGGTTGTGTTGTTGGTGATGTTGGTGGTGGTGGTGTTGTTGGTGATGTGGTGGTGGTGGTGGTGGTGGTGGTGGTGGCGGTGGCGGTGGCGGTGTCAGTGTTGTTGGTTGTTGTGTTGTTGGTGTTGTTGGTGTTGTTGGTGTTGTTGGTGATGTTGGTGGTGGTGGTGTTGTTGGTGATGTGGTGGTGGTGGTGGTGGTGGTGGTGGTGGTGGTGGTGGTGGTGGTGGTGGTGTCAGTGTTGTTGGTGTTGTTGGTGTTGTTGGTGTTGTGGGTGTTGTGGGTGTTGTCGGTGTTGGTGCTGTTGGTGCCGTTCGTGGTGTTGGTGTTGTGGGTGTTGTTGGTGTTGTTGGTGTTGTGGGTGTTGGTGTTGGTGGTGTTGTTGCTGTTGTTGGTGTTGTGGGTGTTGTGGGTGTTGTCGGTGTTGGTGCTGTTGGTGCTGTTGGTGCCGTTCGTGGTGTTGGTGTTGTGGGTGTTGTTGGTGTTGCTGGTGTTGTTGGTGTTGGTGTTGGTGGTGTTGTTGGCGTTGTTGGTGTTGTTGGTGTTGTTGGTGTCGTTATTGTTGTTGTTCTTCTTGTTGCCTTGGGCAGGCTTGACGTGGTGGTGCTGCCGGCCCCCCATTACGCTGCAAACGAGCCGCCCAACCAGTACAACTCGCCGGAAGAGTGCCTGGGAGTGTTGTTTGTGCGAGCGTTGGAGAGGACGCTGTGGTGCGACATTTCCTTGCTTCTTCTGGGATTGCTTGCCAACCTGTCAGGACATGTGAAAAGCGAGGCAACCGGTTCGTCGGCCATTGGTTTCTGAGCAAGAACTATTTTTGCAGAAAGCCGCAAGAGCCTCTCTCCATGGCTCCTTGCACGCCAGAGAGCCCAAGCAATACACAGCCCCTTGAATGGCAATTGCAGCCAAGGTGCCTGAACAGCTGTGGCCGCTACTCTTGCCGCGACCAACAGGCAGGTCGTCGCACACACACAACTCACAGCATTGCGCTCAACAGCTTACACCCACCCAATCTTGGCAAGTGGTAAGTTATCCTTCCTTCGCAAGCCGTGTCTTTCGGGAAAGAAGACAGCTTAGGGCGCGTTTTCCCGCGAGCGTGTTTTCGTGTTTGCGCAAGAACGCCCCCTCCAAAGCTTGCGGGTGTGTTGAGGAAGTTGGTTTGCGGTGGCTGTTGCTGAGATGGGAGCCTACGAGATTGACTGGGAGGGCATGTGCATCGACGAGTGGGGACATGCCGGTGGAGCCGGCGAGTGGGGGCGTGCCAGTGAGTGGGGATATTAGGGCCGAGGGCTGGCAGGAAAGGGGAGCGAAAATCCCTCAGAAAAGACCGCTGAGAGCTGAGGGTTGCAGCTTTGTTGCGTGCAAAAGTGTGGCTTTCGGGGTGTAGCGGGCAAATGTTGGGAACGTGCCTGTAAGAGTCAGCTCTTGTCACTGAAGGGTCAGGAAGTGGCACGCTCGATCGGACTTCGAACCTGGACGCGGGGAGGCCGGTGCTCCAAAACTGGGGCGGAAGTCATGCGCAACAGATGGCAAGTGGCAGGAGACACATTTACCCACAAAGTACCCCAAGACAAATGCCAGAAACATGGGTGTCGTTGAGGGCGTTTCTCCTGAGAGGAACTTTCCGTCCTGGTATGCGAAGATGGCCCGCCAGTTAATGGAATTCTGCTGTTGTGCAAGGGGCCGGGGTGTGTTCCCAGGATGCTACCAAAGGAGCTCCTAAGAGTGGAGAAGGCTCATGAGCCACAGTAAGTATTTTTGGCTCAGCGACGTTTTAGCTGCAACATTCCCAATCTCCACACAGCAAATGTGTCAAAGAATGGCCTAAGAATCCATATGGCACAGAGATGGAAAGAAAGAAAAAAAGACAGAACAGAAAAGAAAAGAAAAGAAGGAAAGCAAGCAAGCAAGCAAGCAAGCAAGCAAGCAAGCAAGCAAGCAAGAAAGAAAGAAAGAGAGAGAGAGAGAGAGAGAGAGCGAGAGAGAGCGAGAGAGAGAGAGAGAGAGAGAGAGAGAGAGAGAGAGAGAGAGAGAGAGAGAGAGAGGAGAGAGAGGAGAGAGAGAGGAGGGAGGGAGAGAGGGAGGGAGGGGGAGGGGAGGGAGGGGAGGGAGGGGAGGGAGGGGAGGGGAGGGAGGCGAGGGAGGGAGGAGGGAGGAATTTATAGGCTGGCTTGATGGGCTGGCTCAAGCCCTTCAGCTAGTCTCTTAGTCTCTGCCTGCGCGAGACCTTTCGATCTTTGTGAAATTTAGAGCCATGTTTCGCTTCTTGGTTGTGGCGCTGTCTCCCTTCGCTTCCGCCGTACGTGGCACCATGATGGACGCCGACATCCAGACAGAGGATTTTGATGGGGGAAAGCTGGGCCTCAGTTGCTTCCGCAAAGTGGCCCGCCTCCTTCTTGATTGTTTTGAGGCGTCTTTAGGTATGTCTTTTGGGGACGGCGTTGGGGTCTTGTTTTTTTCTCCCCACCCGACAGGTTTGCTAAGGTGTCACTTTGAGCTTACGGAGATATAAGTTGTACTTATGTTGGCTTATGCGGAGTTATGTTAAGTTCGTCGTAAGCTCAAGCATGTTCTTTACAAAACAGCCTCAGACATAGGATTTGCCTCACGTTGCGACTTTTTAGCATGGTCTTAGTCAGCTGGCGCTTTGTTTTCATCGCAGCAGCCACCTTTTTGTTGTGACACGGAACCATTTTCTGCGCGGACATGTGGCACTGATGACATCAAGAAACATAGGTCAACTCCTCTCTTTGTGCTAGCCAAACTCACACGCTTGACTGGCGGGGCCGAAATCTCAGAGGTCATGTGTCAAATCATTCTGACCAGTGGCCTGGTCAGACACAAACAGTGTTTACAAGAGTGCTATAGGAAGCGGGTTCAACAAGCGAAACGGACCGCAACGCACTTGGGTTGCCCCATAAACTTTTGCGCCACGTATGATTTGATAGACTGGCGCTCCGTCTTGTCCGTGAAGCTGTGCTTTGCTGAATACGGTTCTGCGGTGGCGTGTGTGTGTGTGTGTTTGCAACACGCAAGCTGTTCTGTTTTCCACCTTCACATCGGCGTTCGCGTGAGGCTCCTGGTGTTGCGTGCTTGCTTGAATAATCCTTTTTGTCATTTGCTTCTACGATTCTGGGTCCTTTCAGCAATACAACTGTTTACAGCTGTAAAGAGAATCACATGGAACCGACCGTTGCAGGGATCCACCCACCACACCAAAGCAAGAACGGCCTTCGCAGGACCTCTATACTGCCCATGCCTTCCAAATGGTACGCCGCTACACGAAGTTGCAGATGACGGAGGCGCAAGCTTTGAGCTGACGCAGCCGCTTCGGATGCGTCCTTCCGGCATTTTCGGGTTTAAGTAAGGGCTTGGTTGGTCACATGCGCGCTAAGACTGGGTCAAAGAAGCAACTCCAGATGCCCATTTTCACTGGCTGGTCTTCGGTTTTGCAACAGCCGATCGCTCGCCAAATAGCCATGGTTGACGTACTCGGGCAGTTGGCTTACGGGGGGGCGTCAGCTTCATGCGCCTTGCCACTAGCCCAAAAAGGGAAGAATCTTGGCCCCGGAGTGCGTGAATGTTTTCATGTGTCCCATGTGTGTGTGTGTGTGTGTCTGCGTGTGTCTGTGTGTGTGTCTGTGTGTGTGGCTGTTTGTGTGTCTGTGTGTGTCTGTGTGTGTTTGTGTGTCTGTGTGTGTTTGTGTGTCTGTGTGTCTGTGTGCCTGTGTGTCTGTGTGTCTGTGTGCATGTCTGTGTCTGTGTCTGTGCCTGTGTCTGTGCCTGTGTCTGCGTCTGTGTCTCTGTCTGTGTCTGTGTCTGTGTCTGTGCCTGTGCCTGTGCCTGTGCCTGTGCCCGTGCCCGTGCCAGTGTCTGTGTCTGTCTCTGTCTGTGTCTGCGTCTGTGTCTGCGTTTGTGTCTGTGCCTGTGTCTGTGTCAGTGTCTGTGTGTGTGTGTGTTTCCGTGTCTGTGTCTATGTCTGTGCTTGTGTCTGCGTGTGTTTGTGTGTGTGTGTGTCTGTGTGTGTCTCTTTGTGTGTGCGTGCGTGCGTGCGTGCGTGCGTGCGTGGGTGTGGGTGTGGGTGTGGGTGTGGGTGTGGGTGTGGGTGTGGGTGTGGGTGTGGGTGTGGGTGTGGGTGTGGGTGTGGGTGTGGGTGTGTGTGTGTGTGTGTGTGTGTGTGTGTGTGTGTGTGTGTGTGTGTGTGTGTGTGTGTGTGTGTGTGTCTGTGTGTCTGTGTGTCTGTGTGTCTGTGTCTGTGTGTCTGTGTGTCTGTGTGTCTGTGTGTCTGTGTCTGTGTCTGTGTCTGTGTGTCTGTGTGTCTGTGTGTCTGTGTCTGTGTCTGTGTGTCTGTGTGTCTGTGTGTCTGTGTGTCTGTGTGTCTGTGTGTCTGTGTGTCTGTGTGTCTGTGTGTCTGTGTGTCTGTGTCTGTGTCTGCGTGTCTGTGTGTCTGTGTGTCTGTGTCTGTGTGTCGTGTGTCTGTGTCTGTGTCTGTGTCTGTGTCTGTGTCTGTGTCTGTGTCTGTGTCTGTGTCTGTGTCTGTGTCTGTGTCTGTGTCTGTGTCTGTGTCTGTGTCTGTGTCTGTGTCTGTGTCTGTGTCTGTGTCTGTGTCTGTGTCTGTGTCTGTGTGTCTGTGTCTGTGTCTGTGTCTGTGTCTGTGTCTGTGTCTGTGTCTGTGTCTGTGTCTGTGTCTGTGTCTGTGTCTGTGTCTGTGTCTGTGTCTGTGTCTGTGTCTGTGTCTGTGTCTGTGTCTGTGTCTGTGTCTGTGTCTGTGTCTGTGTCTGTGTGTCTGTCTGTGTGTGTCTGTCTGTGTCTGTGCCTGTGCCTGTGCCTGTGCCTGTGCCTGTGCCTGTGCCTGTGTCTGAGTCTGTGCCTGTGTCTGTGTCTGTGTCTGTGCCTGTGTCTAGTGTCTGTGTCTGTGTCTGTGTCTGTGTCTGTGTGTCTCTGTGTCTGTGCCTGTGTCTGTGTCTGTGTCTGTGTGTGTGTGTGTGTCTGTGTCTGTGTCTGTGTCTGTGTGTGTGTGTCTGTGTCTGTGTTTGTGCCTGTGTCTGTGTGTCTGTGTGCCTGCTGCTTCTTCATGGTGGGGAGGGTCGTCGCTGTTGTGGCCCCTGGTTCGTCACAGTCGGGTCTGGGCTGGCACCATGGGCGACGGGCGCTTCTTTCCTTGCAGGTTGGCCCAAGACCACGCACGAAGCCACCTGCAAATCGCACCCACTGCGCCTCAACCCCAGCCAAAAGACGCCATCCCCAACTATTTTTTGAATAAACTGATTCGCGTGTGGGCGTCGTGCTAAAACCCATGCACTCGGTTTAGGAGTCCGAATTTCTAGGCTTACGCGGCATGAGCTTCCCATTGTGCGCGCGCAAGAGACGCAGAAGGGCAGTGAAAGAGATGCGGAAGGGCCAGGCTTGTGACGTAAACCGAAACAGTGGACCTGATTTTCAAAGGCAAAGGGGAGACGCAGCCGCAAGTCAAGCGCAGTTCCCTTCGTTGCTGTGAAAGCCAGCCTAACAGCAAAAGCTACCAACGATGAATTTCGATAGTTTCACGGAAAAGGCGCGGAAGACGGGTTTGTGCAGGCACCCGTTCCCCCCTTCGCCCTCCTTATGCAGTAGTCTTCCCCAAAGCGGCTGTGTCCACGTCCTTGGAACTAGGTAGGTTTGGTAGATGTTGGAAATGGTTTCAATTGTCAGGTTTTTTGGAGGCTCCGATGCTTTGGGAAATCGACCGCAGCCTTTCTCTATGCGCATGGAAGAGCCGAGCTGCCTGTTTGGTTGGTTCATTGGCATGGTTGGTTGGCCTGCTTGGCGGGAACCAGTGTCCACAAGTTTGTGTGCTGCTAGGCCGGTTCCCCATTTCAGTCGATTTCTGTGCTGTTTTTGGCCAACCCTCATAGGAGGGTTCAAAATGGTGGTGTCCAAACATCACTGCCTCCAACCTCGCCCGCGATGCAGCAGCCAAAGCCTTGCAGTTTGCGAGGAGGAGGTGCAGCGTGTGTTGGACCAGCACGGTGACCTGAAAGAAGCTGTCGGCGCGCACCTTAACTTCACCGAGACCAGGCGTGGGAGCATGAAGCAGTCGGCATAGAAGTGGCGGTCCTGCCCTTTCAGTCACAAGCTGACGCCAGGCGGCGCTGTGGAAATTGCTTTTGTCACGCAGGGGAACCAAGTGAAACACACACAACCCCATGTCCCTCACAGCACACGTTGAAGACATCCAAAGGTGTGGTTCTTGCATGTGCATGATTGTTGAAGTTGTTGTTTCCAAGGCAAGGGTGCGGAAGGGACTCACACCCAACCCATGTCCTGCTCCAAACTCTTGGGTGTTGAAAGATAGGCGGATCGAATGCCAGGCTTCCTGCCAGCTTGGTGCAGGGGGACCTGAAGTCGGCGCTCCTGGAGCGTGCGCGTGCTGCCTTGGGTGACAAAGGCAAGGCGCTGGATGGCACGGTCCACGGCAAGACGCCGTGCAGGCCGGGGCACGAGCGTTGCCTTTGTCAGGGAGCGGAGCTGTGTAGGGCTGTTCAAGGGGCCTCTAAAAACACATGTCGAGCTTAGCAGACAGAACTTGCAACCGTGTGTGTGCGTGTGTGGCGGCGCAAGAAACGCCGATGCGCATGTGCTGCTCTTTGCAGCAGGTGCTCGTGTGCGAAATGCCTTGAAGTGTTTCCTTTCTTCGCGCGCACGCAAAACGAACCTGCTGCAAGTTGATTGGGGTCACGGCGCCAACACAAACTGCCTCAGCCGGCAGTGTGACACGGCGCCGAGGTGTTTCCCGGCCCGAGCGGCGGGGGGCGGGGCGGGCACGCAAAATCTTCAAGTTAGCCTTGGCGAGGTGCTTCATCGAGAAGATCAAGATCCTCGGCCAGAAAGTCCAGCTGGCAGACCTCGACCGCGAGCGCGTGGGCTGTAGCTTGGAAGCAACCGGATCCTGTGAGACACTAGCGCGACATGAGCCAGTCCTGGAGAGATGGAATTCTCCAGTCTATGAATCCTTGCTGCGCTGATTCCAAGATTCGTGCGCTTCGAGCTGCATGAACCGCTGCAGCGGCGACAGCAAGTACAAGATGGACCCACACGAGGCTGGCAGGTCGCTTCGCTCCAGACGACGCATGGGCTTTGCCACGCGGCAGGCGCGCGTTCTGGGCGCTGATGGTGTGCACCAAGCCATGAAGGCTGCTTGGAGGGAGGGGGGCGGAGTCTATGTCAGCTTCACGCAGGGAAGCTCATATGGAATACTATAGAGGCGGTGCGCCTTCAAGCGTTGTTTCTTGAAAGACGCTGGGCTTGCCAGTTTGAGCTTGCCCCATGTTCGCAAACCTTTGGGGGCTGTTGAAAGGTATACCCAGGTGTATTGATGTCCTCTTGGTTGTATGTTTTTCTAACCCCGCAAGACCCGCAAGAGGTTTGCCAGAACCAGCGCGAACTGCTGCTTTCAATGTACTATGGTAGCGGTGGCTGTGCTTTGCAACCCCCCGCTTAGGTCGGCCAATGCGAGGATGGGGAGTGCAAGTGCCTGGACGCCACCCAGTCCGTCCAGCAAGTGCGATGGGCCAACGAGAGATTGCGCACCAG